GTGGTCATGACCATAACATTCAGAAAGCTCACTTCCCATGGAGCCAGTGACTGATGAGAATACTGACCCACTGATAAATTTACCCACATATGGGCATATGGGAGGGATAGTGTCCACACCAGGAAGGGAATCTTCTGACAGGCGGGAGTACTGCACTAATGAACAGGGCAGAATCCTGTAAGCTGTCGCCACACACTTCACTTGAAGTAAGGGCCATGCCCATTAACCACCAGATACAGCTTGTGTGAAAAGAAAAACAAAAATGACATTTACTTTCTAGAAGTATGTAGGACCCCAGTTTCTTTCCTCCCCAAAGAATAATTTAGCTGTTAATACTTCATCATCATTCCTTGCACGTTAATGTATCAATGGAGGATTTTAAATGTACTCACAGAGATAGTACATGGAAAGAGGTAATTCATTTTCTTCATTTTGAGCAAATAGTAGGCCCGTATATACCCTCTTAAGAATAATAATATATATGCTTTTAAAAATTACTTTTTTAAAAGCAAAAATATATACATATTCATATGTATACATAGAAGCATAGGGCTGTTACTAAGCTCTCTCTCTCTCTCTCTCTCTTTTTTTTTTTTTTTTTTTACGTTTTGGCCTTAGGGTACATCATGTTCTCACTGGAAAGAGAGAGACAGAAACAGTGAAAGGGAAAGTGAGAAATCACCCCCCAAGGAGGATGGCCACCTGCAATCTCCTCTCCTCCATTTTCCTCCTAGGATCTTGAATCCGCATGCACATGCGGTCAGTGTGAGTTTCAAGCCACCAGGTCTGAGACTCGAACCACAACTGGCCATGTGGGAGTTTAGTGATGTAACCGCTTTGCCATCTACTGGCCCCTCAAAAAGCTTTTGTAACATGTAGGACAAGAAACGCATTATCAGAAAAGATAGCCTCAAAATTAATTCCCTCTTAATGCCCAGAAACTAAATGGAGGCATTTATAGAAAAAGTCATAGTAAGATTATTTATTAGTTCCATTAAGGTATAGTTAAAGAAAGAAATGCTGATAAACCAGATGTTTAATTATTTATTACCAGTATATTTAAATCTTGCACTGAATGCCTTGTAGGGTATGAATCTTGACAATTCTAGATACACACGAGGATTAAGTCCAGCTCATTTTTTTGTATTATTGTTTGAATGCAAAGACTGCAGACATCATTTTATCTTTTGCATTTGTTTAACAACAATATTGATATTGTTAATAGTGTCTCCTGTGTGCTGGGCATTGTTTTGGAATTGGAGGATGCAGAAGTGATAAGGATAGAAAAGAGGTTACAATGCAATGAGAAGAGAAGAAATTAAATACATGGTTTTTTTTTTTTCAAATCATAGTGATAGGCGCTATAAAGATAATATAATACTGTACTGAGTTGGAGAGTTACTCCTAGAGTGAAGAAATGTATGAAGAGAAGGCTCTACTCTGACTTACCTGTGTGACACCAGCAAAGTACTTGGCCTCTCACACACTCAATTTCCTTTCCTGTACGTTACTAGGGGCCTTCTGTGTGGCACTGGGCATTGACATTCATCAACATATTTACTTCTCACAATGACTCTTTGTGATAGATACCACCAATATTCACATTGTGGGGATGAGGAAACTCAGGAATTAAAACTACTAGGTGACTGGCCCAAGATCACTCAGCTCGTGAGTGTTAGATCTAGAAATACAGCCCACCTGTACGGTCTCAAGCATTTTCCTACACTGTTCCCCATGGGAGGATGTTTCCAACCTTGAAATGGTGCAATAAGAATCAAATGAGAACTTATATCTAAACAATCTGGTAGAATAACCTCCCTATTTTAGGTACTCAGCCAGATCCAGTCAATCTATAGAATGTTGGAGGGGGGGGTGTGTGTCAGAAAATAGAATTTGAAACTGCAGTAGAGCAAAACTTTCAATATTTTTCTACTATTAATGGGCAATCAGCGCATTATGTTATATTGGGAGTCCAGGTGTCATATCACAGAATGTACCCAGCCCCGTTCCCTACAATGGCTTATTGTTTTTCACGTCACTGACTTTTGTTCCTGCTTCTCAGAATATTTTAATATTATAATAAAAGACAGAGCATTGGACACAATTTCACATAGAGAAAAACCTGTTTTTTCATTGTCACATCTGGCAAGCTGATAGTCAAAACCCAGACAGTCTTTCTAAATCACTTCTTGCATAATTACTGAGATGGGCAGTTCACTGACTTTAGTTCAAGGAGGTAATTCATACAGCATGCAACTGGGCTTTGCATCCTAACCTGGGAACACTGGAAGGCAGCAAGTTCATGATAAATGCCAAACTATTTTAGGACACCAGGTGGCAGTGCTTTAGTAAAGGATTACTTCAGTTCACCTGGGAGAATGCTAGACTATAAGAAAGGAAATAGGAAGGATTAGATAAAGGCTTCACCAAGTAGCAACATTCAAGGAAGAAGTTCAGAGGTGGACCTTTGAGGGGAGAGCATTACAGGCAGAGAAGGCCAAGACAAAGGGAAAGATCCTGATATGGAATACTTTTTATTTTTTCATTTAAAACATAAACTTATTTTATTCCAGGGTGGCAAAGGATAATACTTTCTTAATAGAACATTTCAGGTTAATCAATCTGTCTGATCTAAAAGCATGCTACTTCCTATAGTGTCATAAATTTTACTTTCCAAAAATTCTTTTATGATGTTATATAGTGTACCAATCTGATACATTATAAGAAGTGTAATATTCTGTAGTATAGCAAAATGGAAGTGTTATTATTAATGAAAAAAACTATATGAAGAAATCTCACTTGAAACACATATCCCAATTACTAGTTTATGGAATAATCTTCCTCTACTTTTGTGTTTCTACTACAGACACAATCAAAATTAGGACAATTCTTCCCTTTTTCTGATTTTTTTTTCTTTAACGTATACTTTTAATTTTTTTTTTCTG